CTCTCTCTCTCTCTCTCTCGCCACTCGGTTTCATGTCTAACCTTAAAAGTAACCAAAAAACTACAATTAAATTCACATAATTTTGTACTAACTTTTCTACACCTGTTCTGTAAAATTGACGTTAAATTTGGTTTTACTTTCAAAACCAAAACTAATAGTAATTGTTTGAACAGAGAACAGATTGGATTTGTTTTAGCACTGGCTCTGGAGTTTGCATAGCATGCCAATTGGCTAATAAACAACTCATTAATCAAATTGAGAAAAAGGCTGAATAAATGGCAAAAACACAGTTTAAAGATCGAGATAATCTTCGGGTCTAATCACCTGCAGATGTGTTTGTATTTTGCTTTTTTTAGTCATTAAATTGGGAGCAGATTATACTTTGAGGCATAAAGTTTAAGCAATTGTATATATTTATGGTCAAATAGATTTTAGTTGGAGATTAAAAGTTTCCAAACTTTTATTTTAATTTACAAATATTAATCAATGTCTCAAAGGCAATGCTCGCAATAAAATAATTTTAATGATTGCATAGTTTTAATTAATAAATGTGAAATGTATAAAAATTTAAATTATAATTATGGTAAAAATTATTAATGTATTATAANATGTTTATTTATAAAAGTGACTAAAATGTGAATAATTTATTATTTATCTAAAAGTTTATAAAAAGCATTTCTAATAAATCATGAATTTATTGACTGATGTCTTTTTTAAAACGCTTTTACTATAATGTTATGAAATACTCAATTGTAAGTTCAGTAAAACTATTAAAACAATTTTCATTACATATTAATGCAGACAATAATAAAGTATATGTTTATAAATGTAATATTTTCGTATACATTATACAATTGCTATTATATAAGTTTTAATATATAAATAGTTTTTCATTCAAACTTTGATTTACTTGTATCACAAATAAAAATATTTTTCTGTTCAAAGAATTTTGTCATTTTTGGGTCATTTAAGGATTTATTGATAACATTATGGAATGAAATAATAAAAACATTTGAATAACGAAAACTTCCCTTTTATTTGATATATTTCTCAACAATTTTCACTCAACATTCAAATTACGAAAGAATTTGCAAACAAAGTATTGCAATAAAAATTTATTGAAAACAATTTTCATTGTAAAATGAATTCGTGTTTCAGTGAAATCTAAAACACATCCAAATAAATGAGCTCGTAAAACCTATTGCCTAGGTTTCTCATTATATTGTTTTCAAATTTCGTGATTAAAATTCATTTTAATGATAGTATGACTAAACAAAACCTCTCGCATAATAAATTCAATTTTCAGATTAAATGTGATAAAATATAGTAAATTATTTGTGCCATTCATAAAATATTTACTCCACTATAAATTATATAACAATTCAAATTAATGCTAAAAATCATATTTTGATTATTGTTTCGCTTATTATAAAGTTTTTATAAATTATATTTTGCAATATTATTTTGATCAACAGTTTTTGCATTCTTTGATGTAACTTATTATTATTAATCAAGTAATAAATTTATTCAAAAACGTTACGTCCGGTTAAATGTTTTAACACAATAACATCTGCTTATGAGAGAGAGAGAGAGAGAGAGAGAGAGAGAGAGAGAGAGAGCTATTATTCAGTTGTTTTGCATTAACGCCCAAACAAAACATAAAACTAAATAATAAAACATATTTTCATTGATTAACCAAAAGAGGAGATCTTATTATTGAGGGATTAATCCTAAAGGTTGTACTCTTACAGGTGTTAACAGTAATATGTGTGGTCTGTATGTCTAAACAACTCTTTCACTAATCATTAAATGAATTATCTAAACGACAATTCCTATGATTTCACGTTTGAACATATTGCAAATTCTTGAATAAAAGAAATATTATATATACAGGCATTTAAAACATACAGTAATGCTTCTCTTTGTGATTACTGTAAACAAACATTACTAAGTTTTTATAAATACAATGTAATGTAAATCTGATAAATCAATAGACAATTCTTAAGTTCTTTAAAGCAGATTATCGTGTGATTTAATAGAAATTATTTATATTTAAATTCAAGGTTTTTAAAATATACGAGTGACTGAAATGTACACAAATACAAAAAATTCAGTGAAATACTATTTTTAAAATAATTGTTCATTCATTAAAATTAATGCTAAAACTTCGTAGCGGGGTTTGCATCCATTTCCACACATTTGGATGCGATAAACACAGGGAAAGGCATCTCTTCAACGAGGAATGCCTTTGAAGAAAACAAGTTATTACTCCTACAGATTATATACACTTTATGTTATCGATATTGAAGAGCACAGGGATAGTAGGGATACAGAGAGAGTAGGCATGAAGTGAGTTCTCAAGAGTATCGAAATGGGAAGCCATACAAGAATATTAGGTGTGTCCCCGAAATAGTACTGCAAATAAACGTATCATTTATTCCGTTCATTACGGACGACAAACACATTTGAAAAATACAACACAAAGTCTTAATTTTAATTACTGTATGTATGAGTGAAATACTATTTCACAAAAGAGTATCTGTTTTGGCATTTGATTTATTATCGAAACCATATTCTCATCTGTTTTTCACGTCTTGTTTTTGTTGATGAGAAAAGTTTTCTACTCTTATCTCTGAATCGATGCTAAGTTTTCCCACTGTTTTCGTTTGTCATATATTTTCTTATAACGTCTTATAAATGGCACAAAAATACAGGACCAGTGGCTTCAGTGGCGTTGTGCTCACTATAGTCCGGGTCCTTCTCATCATAACTCTCACCGTTTTATTCCTTATAAGCGGTTATTATTTTATTATATCCATCGATGCCATCGGCGATGATATAGACGTCGCCAGAGAGACCCATCTGACCCACGATGACGACGGCCACCACTTGTTTGGTGTGACCAACTCGACCAGGAAGGAGGACCACATCACTTCACTCATCGTTTGGGTGGTCATCACAATGATGGCCGCAATCTTCTCGGCCGCCGGTATTATTGGCAGCATTTGGATCAACCCTTGTTTGGTAATACAGCCGACAGTCACCACTAAACCACTAATTCATAAACTGATCCCAATTTTTAATATGGATTTAGAATTTGCTTTTCATTCAAATAAATACAATAAAAATATTAATACCTTAACACTGATTAATAATTGCGTTAACACCATTTATTTACTAATTAATGCAGTAAATTAATAAATATATCCATATTTAATATAATTAAAACAATTAAGTAATCTTGAAATCAATTTAATTACATTAAATTAAATATAATTAGTAAATTATACTTTATGTTATATTTATTTTTCTTATTCTGTTTAATGACAACATTGTATCCATGTGTAAATAATCCAGGTGCTGTTCAGCGCTATTATGATCCTAGTGTTTGCTTTGTCGGGAATATTCCTACCGGACATCGGCCTAACACTGTCGGATGTCTCATCCAATTATCATTTACTAGCTCTCGAGATAGCGGTCATAGTATTATCACTTTTATTTGTCATTATATTAAATCGTTGGGGCGTTCAAAGGAGACCCACCCGTCAGAAAGGAGTTTCTTTTGCATAAATCAAATACTTGTGTTGATTTTGTTTATGTTTTTTACAATTTCTGTATAATTACCACTATATCAAATGTAATAGGAAATATTAAAACCTTGAAATTAATTTTAAAGCTTCATTTCATTGAATAATTTAAAATAATTAATTTAATGGCAATTATTAAATAGTCTCTAACTGCATATAATAATAATAATTTTATTATAAATTTTAGCATAACAAATTGCTTTTATTATTTATAATTTTTATTTCACAAACTTCAAAACAAGTAACAGAATTTGTTAATAAGTAATAATTTTTAAATTTGTAGTAATTTCTACTAGATAAAAGTATTGTAATTTATTTATTTTATAATACATTAATAATTTTTATCGTAATTATAATTTAAATTTTTATACATTTCACATTTATTAATTAAAACTATGCAATCATTAAAATTATTTTATTGCGAGCATTGCCTTTGAGACATTGATTAATATTTGTAAATTAAAATAAAAGTTTGGAAACTTTTAATCTCCAACTAAAATCTATTT